TCGCCGTTGTCCGGCCTGATTGCCGAGGCAGTATTACAACGACTAGAGGCACCGGCTTTCGTCCACTATCGACCGCGACTATGGATTCGGTATGTTAATGACGTTTGTCATCATCAGTCGGGACAGGATTGAGGATTTCACAAAGAATCCGAATTTTATCTTCCCTGACATCCAGTTCACGATGGAGGAAGAAAAAGACAGCCAGTTGCCGTTCCTTGACGTGCTGGTGTGCAGAAGAGGTAGCGGGGAACTCAATAAAACAGTTTACAGATAGGCGACAAATACCTCACGTATTCTGAGTTACCCCAGCAACCATCCCGCCACGCACAAACGCAGGTGCGTGCGAACTCTATGTCGCCGCGTAGAAACCAACTGCAACGAACCAACTGACAAGAAGGCCGAAGTCAAGTAGCTGCGGAAACTTTTCACACTGAATGTTTACCCTGGCGCATTTGTCGAAAAATGCCTCGCATATTTTCGACCATTCAGAATATATATATTTCAATGTTCCCTCGGTACATAATTAGAAAAAGAATGCACGAATGTGGCCTTCGTTGCTAGTTCAAATCTAGATGAACTGTCGCAACGTCTGGAAATAGTACTCAGCCGAATTCAAAACTATGGCTTCCGTCTTCGTCTGGAGAAGTGCAATTGTTTTATACCTTTTGTAAAATATCTCTGATTCATAATCGACCAAGATGGTCGTCACCCAGATCCTGACAACATCGACGCCATCAAACAGATGCCACCACTAAAGGACGTAAATTCCTTGCGCGCTTTCTTGGATCTCATGAGTCACTAAAACGCATTCCTTCCAGACGTGCACCGCCTTCGTAATCCGATGAATGAACTGTTTAAGAAAGAAGTCAAGTGGTTCTGGTTGCGAGTGTCAACAAGGGTTCTAAGGAGTGAAAAAATGTTGAACTCTGACTTGCTGCTCATGCACTTCAACCCTGCACTGGAGATTGCCGTTGCAGCGGACGCCTCCAACTATGGAATTGGCGCCGTGATTTAACACGTTTTCCTTGACAACACTGAGAAGGCTATCTGTCATGCAGCCAGATCCCTAACGTCTGCTGAACGCAACTACGGACAGATCGAGAAGGAAGCCTTGGCTATCATCTTCGCTGCGAAGAAAGTTCATTAGATGCCTTATGGACGTCATTTCACCCTTCTCACTGACCGCCAGCCTCTTCTCGCTATTTTTGGCTCCAAAAAAGGGAAATCGCCTTTAGCACTGCGCGACTATGCTGTTGGGCTACGACTTCGACATCCGGTACCAATCTACAACAAGCATTGGTCAGACAGATGTACTCTCGCGCCTAATCAACTCACGGACTAAGGAGCCTGAGGACACAGTCATCATGTCCGTCTACGTCGGGTTTGAGGTTGACAGTCTATTTATGGATTCCATTCGTGCACTCCATGTCACTTTTGAGGAAGTCCGAAACGAAACCCAACAGGATCCACTGTCGAGACAAGCCATCAAATATCACCGCAGCCAGTGGCCGGCTCAAAGTTCTGGGGAAGTGCAGCAGTTTTACCATCGACGAAATTGTCTGTCCATTGTTAACGGTTGTGCCCTTTTCTAGGATCGTGTTGTGGTTCCACAGAATCTACAAGTCAGGGTCTTGAGACAGTTCTACAATGGGCATCCGGCCATCAACCGCATGAGGGCTCTCGCCTGCAGTTATGTGTATTGGCCTCAAATGGACCAACAACTGGAATAGCTGGCCCGGTCATGCACCAAATGCTCTCCAAAAGTCACAAGGGGAGGGGAGGGCGGAAGAAGTTCTGGAACTATTACTGCTGAACTACCGAATCACCCTAAACCCTAACACTCCAAGAGGTGTCTCCCCTGCAGAAGCTTTGATGCAGAGAAAGCTTCGCACACCATTTGACGTCATCCGTCGGCAGTCATCTGTCGGTGTTGTTGATGGGTCAGCCCATCCGACGGCAATGGAAAGGCAATTCAACCGACGCCACGGTGCAAAGCGACGA